TTTCTGCAAATTAAAAATATTTTGTTAGAAAAATCATTCAATTATAATGAGTAAAAATAATTACTTTATTGGGTACATTCATACATTCTCGTTTATATGTAATTAATATGAAAAGAAGTCCAAAAAATATATACCCAATATTTGAAAATATATGATTGAAATCACTAAATTTCCATGGTCCTAATATAAAACTATGTGAACACAGAAAATTATAATAACACAAATCTTGATTTCCAGTTTCATTAAGTACCTAAAAAATATTTAAAACAGGTAATTTTTTTTTATAGAATAAAAAAAAACAATGTTTACTTTTTGTGATGTAAAAACTAATTGAATAACAGGCAATGAATAAAATACTGCTACTGTTATCAAATTCCAAACATATAACCTAGATTTGGCTTTTAAAATTCTATGATCTTTTTTTGATAAATCACTGACATAAAGACACGCTTTGGTTCTGAAAAAAAAATAATTAAAACAAATGTTAAAATGATTAAATCAATATTTAAAATAAACTGTCTTCAGTGTCCTTTTGCTATTGAGCTATTTAGTTTGCTATTCCATTTTTAACAATTTTAAAATTATTATTTGAAAACGCAAACTAAAAGATTTATTTTTACATTTAGTATTAATTTTGTGGTTTACATTTTTTACTCTAGTATATTGAAATTTAATTTTATCATTAGTATTAAAAAATGATAATATGAAATTAAAATAATTAAATATTTTGTTTTTTGGAACAAAAGAAAGTACCACATGACCTAAGGATAATAAATTTAATTAAATATAAAATACAATTAATTTTAAATACTTTTTTGTATTATACTCACACATGCTAATTTTTAAAAAGAAATTACATTATACAAGATGGGTTGACATATTATCTTGTTTTTATTTGTTTACATGGAAATATAGCAGATCACCACGTAAAAACTATTTTTTAAATTTAATATAATTTTTTTATTGTGATTTAATATAAAATTACCTAATCAAATCTTTCCAAGGTTCAGGTGATTTCAAAATATCAATATCAGTCTCATCTAAAGACGAATCATAACTCACATTATCAGGTTGAACTAAAAAATATTAAAATTAATATTATTAAACAATTTAAAAAATAACAAAATTATAAAAATTTATTTTAAATTTATGGCAAAAATTTTCAGTATATCAAAATTAAAAAAAAATTTAAACACATATTACTGTTATATAATATATATTTGTTGTAGGTATGACAATGATTAAGCAACATTGTAATTACTTATTTTTCTTATTAGGTACTTATGGCATCCATATAATTTTTTATTTGGACTGGATAATAATAAATAAAATATAATTATTAATATTAATTTAAGATACTGGTTTATTCAAAAATAAATTTTTAATGTTATAAATAAGTATAATATTTATAGTTTATTATTTTAATTTCTGGGAAATTATGTATCAAAAGTATTGTTTCTATTTAACTTATGAATTAAAAAAAAAATAATCTCTTGTTCTACTTAAAATATTAATTAGAAATTGATATATTAACCTATGTAACCATGGACAAACTTAGAACAATTTCCCAGATTGGGCCAAAAGAAAGTTTTTGAAAGCTATCTCAAATAAAATTATATTTTTACTACGGAAAAAAAATTAAAATGTTTTGAATTAATTAAAAATTGTTGGTTTGACTATTTAAAGAATAGAGGATTTGTACAAATGCTATATGCAACTATATATTCATCTATAAGGGTTTTGTATCATATAATAATTCATAAACTATAAAATCAAATACTCTTAGTTCTAAAGTTACATCCTTACTATTAACAGGGGTTGAACAAATACTAGTTGACGGTTCTTCTTGTATATCAATTGTTTTTAGATTATTTCTGTATAAATAAAAACAAAATTTTACTTTTTAATTTAAATTAAAGTACAATAAACTCACCTATTTGGGTGATAAAAAAATGAGGTAAATACCAAGATAGAAATAAAAATAACAATTACTATTAAGCAATTGATTGTTTGATAATTAAAATCAACAGTTGATTTCATTACAAAACTAATGTTTTTTGTCCTTGAATTTGTTGCTTGATAATTTCCTTGATGACACGCTGAATTATCACTATGAACAACAAAAACTATAAACAATCCAAGTGGGTACTCATCTTTCTACAAAATAATATTAATGCAATTAAAATTAGATTTACACATATTTGTTATATTAAAATATGTCTTACACAAAATTTTAAGTAATTATTATTTTAAGTACTTAGCATAATTAAAACACTAAAATGTAATACATCTTTCAAACTATTAATAAAATATGGTTATGAAAATACATTAAAAAATTTAATGACATTATTAGATGAAATTGTATAACTTATTAAAATAACACCAAAATGAATTCTTAATAATAATTATTAGTTAATTATACTTTGGTAATATGCATATAATAAATATAAAGCATTGACATACTGATATAATAATGCCACCAGTTTTACTGACAGTTTGTCGTAAACCAACATATTGTACTGTTTCTAGAGAATCAAAAACTGGACACTAAAAATATAAATAATTCTTTTTATGTTATATAATATATTTTAAATACATTATTGTTTAATTCATACCGATGAATTTTGTATTGACAATGTCATACATATTAAATCATCAGATTTAACATGCAGTAATACCATAGAAGCATTTTGTTTAAAACTATAATAATAGTATACTGGTTCCGATGGTGATAAGTTGAATGACATTTCTTGATTTAATCTTGAACATTTTAATTTAAAAAAATAAAAACGTATATATTATATTATGATGTCATAATGAAGTAATAGTTGATACTTACAATACATTAAATGATTTTTGAACATCCAAACGTAAAATGAATGTAATATTTTGTAGACTGTTAGTAGATACACTTACAACTATTCTACTTTCATTATTAGAAACACTTAATAATGGACATAATATATGAGCAGCTTTGTAATATCTAAAAAGTTCAACATTTTTGTTGTTAAATTGTAATTTATGAGTTGGGATGTTGGATATCATAAGTAAAGCTTATGAGTCAACAAAACATGAGATTTGAGATAGTTTAGTGATAAAATAACCAACAGACATTTTTAAAAAATGAGTGCTTGGCTTAAATTTTTATTCTATTGCTAGTTGTTAGATTTGTAATTTATTTTCGTGTCAGTATAGTAATACATACTTTATTTCTTGTTCTTTTTCTATATATGGAAGTTGCCATGATATTACACCAGAGCGGTGTCTTACAACAACTATTAAAGGATCTACAATATCATTATCTTCTGGCTTTATTAATGTAACCTTAACTTTAGGTGGCTCTAAAGTTGAATTCTATTAAATAAATAATAGAAATAAAATATCATTTTTAATAATAAAATTAGATAATTAATACACTTACCAGCAAGTAATCATAAAGAAACAAATAAGAAACAGTGTTGTTAATAATTTTTGGGTAATTTTTAGAGTAATTTCCCTTCAAGACAATAGGTATAAGATCATTCGACCCATTGCTTACAAATTTTTCACTGAATAATTCACTCCATACTGATGACAAACCAAATATAGCAACAAGTATTGGTTTCCACATTTTAATAAATTATAAACAAATGTATACATGAAATATTTAGTAATTTTTTACTATTATAAATGCAATTAAATATTATATTTATTTAAAATTCATGAACAACTGTTCAGATAATTCCACATCCAATTACACAAAACAATCGACATTAAACTATCATAATATTAGTTTACATTGAAAAAAAATTTAAATTTAAATCATAATAAAAATAATAAAATAATACATAGTAGTATTTACTTTTTTCATTGTCTGTTATCACTTATCAAATTATTTAAATAAACTACAGCTGATGTATAAATCACCACAGATATAGATATAAGCTAAGGTACTATAAGCATTCTATTATGCTTTAATGCCTCTTATGTAAACATTATCGTACATTATTCTAAAAGGTTTACAGTATCTATGTTCTATACAGATTACAGAAGTCAAAAGAAAAAAAATTAACATTTAGTGTTGTCTTAGGTATTATATTTATCAATTTTTACGGATCTATAAATTTTTATTAAAATTGTAATTAATATTTAGTAATATTACATTATACAAATGCTGAGCTTTTGAATTAACTAAAATGTTGGCTGTGATGGCCCTATAACTCTATTGCTATCGAGTAGCAATTGATATAATTATTGATTAATTAAATTTATCAAATTATTTTGCCATAAATACATTAGTTTAAGTAGGTAAGCAATAAAACAAACCAATATCAGAATTGAATTAAATCTTATTATAACTTACTTTTAAAAATATTTAAAACTACTTAATACTTTAAATAGTGTTTTTTATACTTATTTTATACTTATTACTAGTATAAATTAAAATAATAACTTCGGTAATAGAAAAAAATGATAATAACAACAATAATAATATTATAAAGTAGGTATATTATATAAGTCCTTATAAATTATAACATTTATAAGCACACATTTTTATATTTAGGTATAGACGGTGTAGTGGTCCATAAATTAAAATAATTAATAACGATAAAATATTACTTTTCTCCGTTGATGAAAAATTGTTAAAATTTGCTTTAGATACGTATTTGAACTATATTAATTATTTGTACATTATTATTTATTATATTATTCTAATATATTGTATAAGTGTTATTCGATTATACATTCTCTAAGTAAATTGATTAGAATATCACAATAACTGTTTTCTTTTATACAAATATAGTTACACATATATTATGATCTAAGTCCTAAGAAGGTACCTACCTAATAATAATTAATAACTAATAAGGTAACAGTCGTAGTCCATAGATAATTTTTTTATTGTTCTTAACAAATACACTTATAATTAAAAAAAATTAAATGCTTTAATTTTATAATAAGAACCTATTGACTAACTATACATAGAAATAGTGTATAAATAATAAATATATATTATATAATTATGATGTACATGTTATTCGTGGCAATTTGGTAGCCACTTCTGCGAGCAATTGTAAATTGTAATCTTCGTCAATAATAGTTTCTGATTCGAGCAATTTTTTGGTGGTTTTACTAAAAAAAAACTTTGCTTTAATATAATTTATAATTAAACATGCTTAATTTAGTTTCTTATTGGTTATTTAATTAACATTCATATTTTAATATTTAATCACATGCGTGTATTCTCTATTAATAAAGTAATAATGAATTGTTATATCTATTCATTGAAATATGATAAAATAAATATAATATTACTTTAACCTAACCGTAAATAGTAGATACAAATTATATAAAATATAATGTATAAACGCTTTATTAAAATGATCTTTTTTTTTTTATAATAATTAGATCATTGAATAATGAATGGTAATATCATTCAATATTATAAATTATAATTTAACATTATCTACTGGCTAGAGTAGTTTAACATTTTTGACAATTTGTATCACTGTAAATTGATTTTTAATAAATATAGGTAATAATATTGAGTATTAGTTATTAACTTATAACTAAAGGGCGGATGTTCATGTTCCAAAAAACTTAAAAGTATGCTGTAAAAAATTTTAAAATATGCTTGATAAAATGTCATTATATGTCTAAAAAAAATGTAAAAATATCTAATCTGCAATGAAATAGTAATAATATTTTTTTAAAGTTAAAACTGTTAAAAACTTGAAATAAAAATAAAATGGATAGGTAAATAGTTTGAATAAAAAAAATGATGTATTTTTATTGGTTTTTTTTAAATGTTCATTTAATTTGAAAAATCAAATTTTATTAAATGTAAAATGTATAAAAAATTAAATTTTTAAAATAGTAATTGAAATAGATAATAATTCAATGTTAAATGCCAATTAAAACCTAAAGATACCAAATATGCATTATGATGCATTAATAAAATATAAATATGCTTTGAAAGAAAAATGGATCGAAATATGCAAATATATGCAGCATAAAACTTTTGATTTCGTCTTCCATAGGTTACAAAACAAATGTCTACTCTACTCTGCAACTTTTATAATTAAAGGAAAAAAATATGAAAATGCAAGATTAGGTTTTATATATAGATATGAATATCTGTCCTTTACTTATAACTTACAAGTGATAAATATAAGTAGGTATAATGGCGTATTTCGGGTGATTTTTAAGGGGAGGGATGTTCAAAAAATATTCCTTAATGACCTGGAAAAATTCGAATAATTCTTGGATATTTCAAATTAACTGTTAACTTAGCTTAAAAATATACCTTAAACGGTGTTAAAAGATCTAATATAATTAATTTTACAATTGCAATTTTGATATCTACTTAATTAAATACTGATAAATTTGGCTATATATTATTTTGATTCAGGGGAAAGAGTACAGAAATGAAGGACATTTCCCGAAAATACACCACTAGGTATACTATAATACAAATTAGATATATCAAATAACTAATATAAGTAATCCTAAAAATCAAACGTGTTCATTATTATATGTTAAAATAATTAAAGTAGTATATAGTTATTGTTGTAATGACGTTCAATTTCCGCAATTAATACATTAAAAAAAAGAGGATAGGTAACTATTCTTTTTTATAGTAGGAGTCGAGATACCTTGTCATTAACATGAAGTAAGTCATTGTAAATTTGAACTCAATGATAAATCATTGTAAAGGTACAAAAAAAGATTGGGAGTAAAGACTATATTATAAGCAGTTAGCCAGATATATTACAAAGTAATTTTTATTTTGCTACAAGTAATAGTTTATATATAAATTATAAATGGGAAATAGCTTAAAATGGAATTAAATATTTTAAATATGTCATTATGTGTAGTGACAACACACGTAAACATTTCAAGTTCTCAAGAATATTTTTGAATTAAAAAAAAAAAAAAAAAACTAAATATATTAATAATTAAAAAATTGGAATGCAGATTTCTATAAAAAAAAAAAATATGCATTTATATAGTTTAGATAATTTAATGTTCGTAAACAGGACCACTTATAATGAACCTTAAATTTAAGGAGGTTTTATGTTTGTGTTTTAATATTTAAACTTATAAACTTCTTATCCATCTTTTTAATTTATATTATAATTATTATTTTAAAATATATTAAAAATGCATATATACTTATATACCTTATTACTATGTTATTATAGTTATTAATATTGATTATCTTATTATTACCTATTATATAATTATTTACACACTCTTGCATACATAATTAAATCATTAGACACTATGTAATTTTGTTTTAAACTTTAAAATCTTAATTATATTTATATCATTCATACCATTGAGTTTTCTTTTCAAAATGATGAGCAAAACTATGATGAGTAAAACACGTGAACTTTTTAATTTTCAATAGTATTAGACTTTTGTCTATATCCTTTTCCTTTAAAATATTTGGAAGAATTCTACGACGACTATTTATGAACCAATTGTAGATCTATGCGATTAGAACATTTTTGAAACATATTATTATTTATTTAATATTTAAAATAAAAACTATAATATATATCAAGTACTTGATTTTTAGTAAGATTTGTAACTTCCATCAAAATTTTCTTCGTTGACTCGGACGGATAGGGGTTGGTGCAATTTTCTTCTAGCCATCTAGTTAATATGTTAACGGCAGCTTTCGGTAAATTTGGTCTCTTCTGTGGTCTTACTGTAACTTGAAGTTTTCTGTTGAATTTAGCCATATTTTTTTATGTCAATTTAATTTGAAAATTTATTGTTGGCTGTTAATAATTTAAAAATTATAATTAAACAAAAAAAAAAAAATAAAAGAGAGTTTTGGTACTTATACATTATATATCTAGTATTGTATATTATATCTTTACTAAATATTGTCTATGTAGGTATATGAATTATTGGTTAGATTAGTTGTTCCGGTATACCGGCTAATTGCAAAAGCCAAACTCTACTGCTGTCAAAACCTATTTTTAGTAGAGGCATGTGTTCTAATCTAAATGTCAAAGAGAACAAATTTCGTCAAGTGCTTGAATGGACATTGCTGTATTAACTATTTCAAAGTATATATTATTACACCTTCATGTTTATTATAACATATGTAAATAATATATTACCCACAAAATAAGTTAAATAAATTAAATCTTGATTTTTTAAGGATGGCCCTAAACGGCTATACTATTATTACTTTTTATCTTTCGTTATAAAAGACATACTTGCTATAATCACAAATAACATTTTTGGCGAAAATCATGAACTAATAATAATATAAAACCGATACTTTAAATAGTCTAAATTTATATTCCATAAAACCTGCGTTACATATATTAACATTGACTATTGAAAATAAATTAATAAATATGCATATTACTAATTACTAATCATCTACATATTTTTTCATTTTGATTTAAAATAGTTTTAAAGTGAATTAAATAAAATAATTTGTAGAAATCGGTGAAGTCGCTTTGTTATTTTTTAGGTGTTAAGTGAATCGCGTTATAGAATAAGTCATTGTTATAGATGTGTTTTATTTTAATTTGGTGATAAATCATCGTATATATGATTAAAAAAAAAACGATTTAGAGCAGAGACGGTCCGTTAGTATAAAAATGTTTATAAAATAATTGACAATTTTGACGTATTTTGTTAAAAAAATTAATTTAAATAATCATAAAAAAATAATATAACAAAAATAATTTTGTTAAAAACTGATTTTTTTTGTGATTGTTTGTTTTATTTTTTTTTTTACATTATGAATCATATTTTTGGTTTTATCTCACAAAGTAATGCTTTAATTTCTAAAAGTTCCAACCATAACCAAATAATTGCTTCTAACCAAAAACCGAGCTATTTTTCTTTTATCTGTTAAAAGTTTTGTGTTCAGAAATAAAACACGCATAAATCAATGTTAAGCTAATACATTCATTGCTATTTACTTAGAATCTAAAAAAATAATAAATAACTGGTTTTTTTTTTTTTATAGTGCCAGATAATGACATTTTCCAGAGCTCGAGTTATTTCTTCATTTGATTACAACCTTAATGGTGAAACACTTCTTCGGACTTTAGGGGCTATTAAAGACCTCGGTATTTTTTTTGATCCTAAACTTAAGTTTGACAGTCATATTACCAACATTGTTAACAGGTCAAATAAAATCCTTGGTTTTATCAGTCGTAATTGTGCTGATTTTGATGATCCATTAGCTTTAAAGTCCATTTACTGTAGCTTGGTACGCTCCATTTGTGAATATGGCTCAATAATATGGTCTCCATATCAGTCGGGTCATAAGCAAATCATTGAAAAAATTCAACAAAAATTCCTACGTTTCATTTCATTTAAATGTTCCATAATCAGAGAACCCCATTCTTCATATACTCCACTACTAACTTTTCTCAACCTCGAAACACTTGAACAACGTCGTCTGCGATTAGATTTGTACTTTTCGTATAAACTTTTCTCAGGAAATATAGACTGTCCTGACTTCCTAAGTCGCTTCTCCTTCCTTGCCCCTATTCGTAACTCCCGGTCTAAAAACACTTTCTATCTAAACACAGAAGTAACAAATTACGCTAGCAATACTCCCCATCATAGAATTATGAAAACTATAAATAAATTAAATATTGATTTGTTCATTTCACCAAACTTTAACTCATTCAAAAATTATTGTAATTCCTTACTTGTTAATTCATAGCTATAATTATTTTAAATAATATGTATGTATAATAATTAATATTGTACCTTTTTTGTCTTTCTCTATAATTTTTCTGTTTATGTATATTACTTTAACGATCGATTGTCATTATTATCATTATGTATGTAATTAGGCCTGGCCCGTTTAAAACTTAAATAAATAAATAAATAAATATAAAGGAACTATTAAAATTAATCCTTTCAATAAATAATAATCAAAAATATTTAACAATTATATTTTTTTTATATTCATCAATATTTAATAATTTATAACAATGTATGTATAATGTTACATTTATAAAAAAGATTATTTCCTGTTTTTTTTGAACAGATAGTAAATATTTAGTAAGTTAAAATAGTTTATACAAAGAAAACGGTTTTAGTTTTTCATAAAATTGTTTTGTACGATTAACAATAATAGTCAAGATAATTAAACCTTAAAATGTTATTACAATTTATAGTTATGAATAGGCCCGGACTGGGCCAATGTGCTACTGTTCTACAGCACAGTAGGCCTCACGTTTCGATTTTGTAATAAAATACTTGAGTCCTTTTAAACAATTAATGAGCAAAAAAAAGGTCTTTTTTTTATTTTGTATCTATGGGTCTATGGGCCGTCTACTAACTAAGAATAGTAGGCCGGTATATTCCCAGTCTGGTCCTGAGTTACAAACAATAACTAGAGTTACACTATACTAGTATACTGAATGATGGAATGTGCATATATTAATTTGTAAAATAATATTATGATCTAAAAATTAACATTGTACAATATGACTATAAACCGCATAAATTGGTATCTATATATTTGTAGATATGTGTTCGTATAAGCATAAGTATGGTACAACATACAAAAATAATATATTTCGTTGTCATTTATATTTTATATTGCTCCATTGTATACCCGTGCGTTTTTTTAGTAAAATGTAAAATGGAAACGCTTATTAATATCAAAAACTAGTTTAGGAGCTGAGTTCCCTTGCGTTCCCTCCCAATTCGAGCACTGCTTATGATCTAAATATTATAGTACGGTACAAATTATACGGACTTAGTGATTAAATTAAGAAAAAACGTGAAGAGGACACAGAGTCCCTTTTTTTGAAAAAAATATTTATGCGTAGGCGCCATTTTTAGCATTAATAAAATATTTAAATATTTACGTAAGTATGCACATTTTTTTTAGATTTTTACATTCTTGAATCCTTCTTTTAATTTTTTCCTAGTTCAGCACGCCGAGTATTTTATAAAAATATAAAAGTATCATAAAACGTTGTGCATAAGTGGTTCGTGGTATTGGCAATCCAAATGTTTTAAAAGTTTAATTGTATATAATAAATACAAAATAATAATATGCATATTGGCTAAAAATTTAAATTGTTAACATTTATAAATCGAAAAAACAAACCTAAAAATTAAAAATTTCAAACGATTATAAGTCATAGAAAAAAAAAGATCCAAAATATTTTCAAACCTGTACCATATATAGATATTATTATAAATATTTAGTGAAAAATTCAAGTCTTGGCAATTTCTCATTAGTGAATCACAACAACAAAAAATAAAATTAATTTCGTTGAAATTGGTTTTGCATAAAAATTTTTGTTTTATTTATACTGGGAACTGTCAACTTTTTTGTAATTAAATTATGTATCTATAATCTATACAAACTAAATCAAATTTACTACCAGAAACTACTTTCAACGTTAAATATTTAAATATTTTTAATTCGTTTATCCGCTCAGAATTTAAATAGATTGCCACTAATAAAAATTGTGATAATGAACAATTATGATAGCAAAAAAAAGTAAAAATCTGATGTTTTCGATAAGTTAGTATTGAAGACTATTTGAAGTATTTAATGTATTTAAATAGAACTCCTTAATAACAACCAGATAAAAGTTAGTAGGTTAGGTAATGACGTTGTCTAACGTTAAAAAATAACTTTTTTCCCTTTATAATTTATACCTTTAATTGTTATTGCAGTTAGTATTTTTATTACTTATTATTTATTATAAACTTTAAATACCGAAATAATAATATATATCATATATTTTTCGTATTTATAATATCAAGATACTATTGTAATATCTTATAAGAGAGAATCTTATATCGTTGCAAGTTTGCTCTACATAAATACATGATATCAAGATAAATAATATCATAAGACGTATTTACTAGGGTTCAGGTGTATGAGCATATCTTATATATATACAACAGTAATGCATAATCACAAATTTAAAATAATTAATATAATATATTATTGGAAATAGAAATAACTATTATTAAATAACAGAATGTACCCAATATAATTCTGTAAAAATGAGCAGGTACAATAATAATATTTATATATTTGTATACCTATTTACAATTTGTAAATATTTTTGTTACAATTGTACATTATGTATAACAACAATAGTTATGTGATATTTTCTTAGCAATGAGAAAAATTCATTAGAAGTAGTTATTTACCTGAATGTATATAAATAATGTATAGGCGTAAAAGTTTGAATGCAATATAATTAATATAATATAAAAATAAATGATATCTTCAATGACACTTAACTTATATTTTGGGAAATCACAATAATGTTAAATATATAATAATAGATACATTGTATTAACAATTGATCATTTGAACCATAATATTAACAACATATTAAATTGACAAAGTATTATTAAAATAATTTCGATAAGAACAATACATTTTGTTTGAATTATATTTATAATTTATACATATAATATTATTTTATGTATATTGTGCTTATCTACATAGGTATATAAACTAAATTTTTCAGTCATTTTCATAGGGAAATAAATAATAATTAATATTTGTATGTACAGTTGAGTAATACTTAATAAATTATAAAATGTAAGTACATTTATACATTTTTTAATCGCAATAACAAATTCCTTTCAAAATTGGCATTTTAGCGAGCATTGTTCTAGGTAAACAGTCTGCTTGATGTCCATATTTGTTAATTCGAAAGACCTGCCCAATAACTTCAAATGTTTGGGATCCGTTATTTATTTCTATACCTAGTGTGGCTTCAAAGTATCCATTACCTGGTGTGGCTTTAAATGTTATTTGAACAGATTTTTCGTACACTTTACCATCGTCGTATTTTTGTGGTGCTTCGTACAAATATGTTTCCTCAATAAAAGCCAATTTAATTTCAGCACAATTTTCAAGACCATCCAATAGTTTATTAAAATATCTAAAAAAAAAATCGAAATGATTTTCAGGTTAAATTTATTACATTTAGTTGATGGCATTAATATAATATCTACATTATGTACAAACTAATTAGTTATATTTTAAAAATGTTTAAGAGAATTTAAATTAAAAAATATTTTTTTTGTAAATTTACTTAATAATTCATAAAATAAAACTTATAACGTGTTTGACTATAAAAACTCAACAAAAACATATTTTATATTGATATTTTTTTTCAAAGTATTAGATATTTTAATGTTAAATTTTTATTAATCAAAAGAAAATTATAATTATTACTACTCAGTAAGTAGATATTCATTATTTTAGCTATTTTGCAAATTTAACCTTATGACTTCATTTGATGCTGCAATACTGTATGGGTGTTTTGAATCAAGTCGCTTTTGTTGACCTTCGTGGCAAACACACAGCCATTGAGCCACACCGGCGGCATTGCAATCTCTAACTAATGGAACGGGTTCTAACAATGATAAGCCGGCACTAGTAGCTGAAAAATGATTCTTAACGTTTTTGTCTTGGATACTGTTTAGTAAATATTCATTGATATCAGTTGATTTGTTTTGATTATTCAATGTACTTAATATATGTCTGAATGTAGCATAAATATCATAGGTGGATGTCAGTCTCATACGGTTATCACGGAGGGATTCTTTCCAAGATGGATACTTCATGCTTATCCATTCTGGAAGTACTACGGTGACCATTGGCATTCGGTCCTCTATGGTTCCAACTTTAGTTCGCCGAATGAAATCCATACGGTTGCCATGATCACCGAGCACAAAAATCACAGTTCGGTTAAAAAGCCCTTCGTGGAGAGAAGTCTTAAGGAATTTCATATAATCTAAATCTATCACCTGGAAAAAATAAATACACGATTTATTAATTTAAAATCTTGTTTGTTTAAATTATACTTTTTAAACACACTTACCCCAACAGTATTGACAAAGTCATGACTAACTTCGTTAAAAAGCGAGAATAAGAAAACTGGAGAGTCTTTATAGACTTTTAGGAATGATTTCAAATAGTCAAAATATATAAGATGTTTAGGCGTTGGTCCAAGGCAACCAGGTGAGCTCATCTTATATAACATCGACTGTTCCACAGCTAACCAATATGAACGCATGTAATGCAGAGTTGGCTGTAAAGTAATTCCTCTAGCTAAATAGTCAAACATGTTGAATTCTGGCTGGTCTTCTGCATATAGAGTCGCAGCGCCTTCTTTACTAAAGTCCTTCCATATGTATGGCCAGTCCTGTAGTAAAGAAAATAAAAATATTTTTTAGATATTATAAATTAACTATTTATAAATTGTAGTTATTGTTATTATTTATTAAATTTTGCTTTATAATATTAAAGTATTTTAAATATTAAACATTGAAATTTGGTCACACTGAACGTATAATATTGTTTACATACATCAAACTTATTGTTATGTTCCATGATGAATGATCGGCCAGTTAACATCGGAATCACATTTGGAAATGTGTTTTCACCTACTTTGGTGAAACCATGCATCACATCACCATTCATCTCTTTGGTTATGAAATTATAAGAGTTCATCATTTGTCTCATAAAGTTTAATCTTGAAATGGAATCGATTCCAATTACGGCTACACCTAGTTCCATATCGTCCTATTTATGAAATACAATTATTATACATTAAATTAATTTAAAAATTCTATTGAGTAATGTTTAACATTACTTTAAATTTCCTAACTTCTGGCCTTCTTCTAGCATATGCATGAAAGTTATTATACACAGTAATGCCAAATAAATTAGTGCATGATACGTATATAAAATCCGTAAGAGGTTCGTGAAAACCAGTGATGGGAATTTGTGGTCCATACTCCACGTGGAAATCATCATCATTTGGACGATAAATTTCTTGATAATAACAATGGAGCGTATTTGAGGTTAAGGAATAACCAGACTCTTTGAATCCTGACATATTGAACTGTAGAAGCCCAGTATCCATGTCGATGTAAGTCAAACGATAGGACCTCTCCATACATCTAAATAAGGAAATAAGTAACCAAAATTAAAATCATTGAATAATCTTAATTCTCTATTAAAACTGTACCTAGGTTCTAGGTATGTTACTCACCTTATAGGCTTGGGTACGAATACGTATTTAAGAATAGATGAATCAAATGGGTTAAGTATAGGAAACTGACAAGTAACTCTTGGATCACGATCAGTTAAATTCTATAATATTTAAATGTTACTGTGTTTAAGTACTATACTTCTATCATTTGCATACATTTATTTAACTGAAACTTACTTCGTAAACTACCAAATGTTCAAGTTTCGGCCTCACTAGCTCTTGATGAATGTGATACACCGTCACTGACGCTTAATAAAATACAAAAAATAAATATTGAAAAAATAGTAGTACATACCTAATTAACAATGTTTTTTTTTTTAACTTACCTAATGTTGTGACAAATATAAATAGGTATCTAATAGTATAGTATGGTTCTATAATTTGCTGATTACTAAGTATTCGTTTATGTTTCTTATATGTAGTCATTATAATTCTTATGCTATCCGCTTCATGTTTTTTAATTGTCTTAAGAATTGACTCTCCTGTAATAAAAAGAAGTTTTGTATTGTATTTGATAGATTATGAAATTATTTTGTTTATTTATGGACTATGGTAAGTTTATTTTAGTGATTTTTCCATAGAGTAGTGGAATTATCTAATCAATTTAATATAAATTAAATAAAAAATCAATAATATATAAATAAGAACCAGGTGCTACTTTTTTAGAAATAATAAAAACAAACATATTAACCTGAAATTAAAAATAATTATAAATTAGGTAATACAATTTACGATTATTGAAAAGAACAAATGTTTCGACGTTGTTTAAATAAGTGAAAAACTCTAAATGGTAAAAATTACAGATATATACGTGATATAAATAAAGTAAAAATTCAGTAATTAGTTATTAGATGAGCCAAAATTATTTCATGTGTACTATATACTATTATGAAAGTTTCAAATTTATATGAGTATTTAATAAAAACAAAATTATAATAATCTGATTTTTCATAAAAAATCTTGTTTTGACCATTTTTTTTTTTCAAAGGTAAATTTTAAATTTGATCCTCCAAAATACCAACTAAATTCGGTGCCATCAGTACAACATTAGACGTGATATTTTATATACAAATAATTGTAAGATTATATTGTTCATTTAGCTGTAATAAACTACGCTCGTAGTAATGTACAAGTGGCACCACTCAGTTCATAGAACCGCGGAAAACAGAAAAAATACATTAATTGGAGCTCTCAAAATCCAATAATCCTTCAACTATTATTTATGTTTGGCTACCATCAAACACCAATGATTAATCAATACAATTCACTATTTTTTTCAATAAATTGTGAATTTTATTACTGCTCGATTTATTGAAAATTTAAAAGAGCGAAACACGTTTATTTAATATAACTATACAACGATAATCATTACTTTTTACTTCATTAGTCATTAGATACGTTTTAACAGTATTAATATTTTTAATTATTTTATCAATGTATGTAAAATGTTGAAATGATACAAATTATAAAATGGCCCCTCCCTGCTTAACCTACCTGCCAAATATATATTGTACTGCTAATATAGGTATTTAATTAAAACCAATATTTGATCTCTGGTTTTGATCAAATTTTGGCTAATAATTATTCTAAATGTTTATAATATTTCTTATCCAACGTTTTTGAAGTTTTGTAGTTTATTATCTAAAATCATATTTTAAGCATTTTTAAAAGTAGTATTTTAATAGTTTGTTAAATTATTCAGTTCTAACTAAAAAATTAAGTCAATATGATTTAGATAAAATTATTATTTTTTTTTTTTTTGGTACTAGTAAAAATAAACCTCATAAAAAATTTAAGAGTACTATCTATTTAAATATTAGTTTATGAAATAGTTTTTTTTCTAGTCATTATTTAGAATTATTTACGTTTTACGCACCGACCCTTGACATACTTCAAACTATGTTACTTCACAATTTATTAACCGACCATAAAAAAAGCTTATGAATATGTATAATAAATATATGCACAATAATTAGTCATAGTTTTTGTGGTACCTTAGGAATTTCTCGAATTGTAAATAATGAAAAAAAAAGAACTAGGTAGTATAGGTGTAGATTATCTGATTATAATGTGCCTTCTTTTACATTTATATTTGAGCTTGTAACAATTTTCTATTAATGTATACACATTATACCTCCTACTCATTACAGATGTTTAAATCACACGCCTGATGTTTATTTTTTTTATTTTTTTTTAACTTGTGTAAAATTAGAAAACGCATACATTACGATTCACAGGCGCCCGTAACGCGTGAACAGCGTATTAATGTTTAATATTATCGTATCATATACACTGCATTGTTGTGTGTGTGTTCAGGGTGAAGCAAAGTTTATTAATCAGTCACTCGAAGACAGTACATGTACATTAGCGGGACACGTCATACGTACGTAGGTTACACGTAATATAATATTACACGCGACCATAATTTGATCTTTAGAGTATAAAAATAGTTTCATATCATATCATATATTATATTATTATAAAACTACACCGGGACAAGAGTGCATCGCGACGTCAGTGTTGGCGAATACCCGGACCGGACGAATACCTACTTATAGAATAAAACCTGCGCAATCTAGTGATCGGCTGTCTCGCCGGTTTTATACTGAACGGACGACGGACCATGCGCACCACACTGTATTCCGTAGTACACGTGTACAACTCAAGTGGATGTGGATGTAATGGCTAACCGATACGATGCTGATTGCTGGGTATGCGTCGACACTAAGACAATAATATCATGTTGTTAACAATTTATTATAATAATAATATTCTTTGAACATGTCATTAAAATGTATAAAGGCGCGCGATCGAAGATCCGTCTTAGCCCAAATGTCCAAACGTCGTAAATACACAATAACGACTATAGTGGGTGAGTATACCGACCATAATGCATTGTAAACAATACTTTAGACGCCGCTGAGGATGTTATATCGCGAAAAGGCCACGCGTTGAATGTGATATGTATATAAGCACACGATTATTAAAGCCGGGAATATCGTTGCGGTCATGTCTAGTAACATTTTTAAAATCCTCATTTTGGCTATAGAAAAAAGTATAAATAGTACAATAAAACAGAAGTAACAGTACAAGTCAAAAGAAAAGGGCTGGAATTCTTAAATGGTGTGCAGAGCGAAATTAAAAAATGTGTTATAGTGGTCTATAGTATGAAAATTCGTTACTATATTTAAATTTAAAATTTAAATTCAATTAATATAAAATAAAGAACAAACCGAATTTAATTCTATAAGAATGTTTATGTTAATTACCTTCTTTATTTTAAGATTGTTGAAATCGTTTTTTATATTGTAGTTTAAATGATAATAATAAATCCTATAGTAATGTATAAATATTTGAATATATTTTATTAAAGTAAAAAAAAATCAACTATCACAATAACTTTAACCAAAAAAGATCATGGATTTAAATTAATCGAATGTTTTATCGATCAAATTAACAATAATTTACATCTGTTGATATAACTCTTAACTGACTGAAGTTTGGTTGGGTGGTTGTGTAGTTTTATGTACACTATCTGTGACATTAAGAAAAGGTAAGTATGGCCTAATATAAAGTGTGCAGCACAAAAAGACATTTATTTTAGGCCCTGGGTTAAAGAGATTGAATATTTTTCGACCTGTATTGGACCGATTTTTTTCGGCCGTCCTTAGTTATATCTATCTACTTATCTTTATATATATAAATTTATTATATATTATTATTTATCGTATACATACTATTATATAGCTGTAGGTTAGGTCGTATTAATACGACGAAAACGACACCCGAACGACGATGACGTCCTTCGTGCAGGCGCGCCGGCTGGTCAAACTTTAGTGCGTCCCCCACACAATCGGCTAGTATTGGTGAGACTTGATAGACGGCCAAGAGCGTTTATTGTATTTGCCAGCAGACCTACGCGTACGATATTAACTAGAGTGACAAATTATAAAGTACGTTTTGATGGGGTGTTATTGATTTGAAATAAATGGGACACACGATGTTTATTTTTTAATTTATTAATATCTAGTTTTAATGCTTACTGAGACGAACCGTGTATTACAACATCACCTTTGTCCTTCCAATTTTCAATTATTTTTATAGATAATTTTTTATGGTGTGTTTGTTTTCCCTCAATGTTATCAATTACCTTATAATATTATTCTATTCTCATTATAAATAAATAATTAAAGCTTTGTTAGTTAATAATTATAATTTATTGCTGATGATAATTAGTAAACAGTAAATATTAATTTATATACTAACTTTATTAATTATTATAATCAATGTCATTGCTAATAAATGCTAGTAACATCGTGACATTTCCTCATTGTCTATTAATACAAATTATTTTAGTGTACCCACTGCTATAATAACTAATAACACAAAATATGAAGAAAAAAAAATTAACTGTTTGTTAAATATTATATTGTGGTATTCAATGTTTTGATTTTACCGTAAGTATTAATCAAGGGGAATAGAGATAGTAAATTAATTTTGGATATACTTCTGCAATTACTAGAAGCCGATTTTTATACTATAATAGTCTTGAATTTAATATAAATACTAAATCAAATGTAGGTATTTACTTTAAAAATAATCAACTATAGGTCATAAACAATACGATTTTATAAATCTATCACATTTTATGTTTGTTAACATAATTAATAGTAATATAACAAACTTTATTTTAAATGTGTATAAATATAACAGCAAGTATATTTATAACTAGAACGTCATATATATTTTTATAAATACGCATTATAATATATTATTAATTTTTATGACAAACTATGTCAGTATGCATTTGAATTTTTATTTTTACGAACATTTTCTGTTTTAAATTACTCATAACACAATTTTGGAGGTTTGTTAATTTTTTTTTAGTTTGTTATAAATACAATTATTGTTCATGTGAATGGAAGGATTTTATGTACAAAGGAACCTAAATTTTTTATGTACCCACCTAACTGAATTATTATCTAATTTATACTATTTTGGTATAGATATTAAGCACATTTATTTGTAGAATGAGGACTATTTAACACGATAGTAGTTGTTACTTATTGCGCTATAATAATACATAACATGCTGAATTGCATAAACTAAATTCAAAGTCTGTGTTAATTAATTTAATATTTAAAAGTATACTAATGAAACGAATCGTACTAGAAATTTATTATGATGGTTGTCATAGAATAAGTTCTATTTTACTAGTGTATATTGACATCCAATAACAGTAATTGTATTAAATTATACCAATTAACTTTAATTAAAATAAAAGAATACATTTATTGACCTTATAACCAATATATTTTTTTTATCTTTGACACAAGAATTTAAAGAAGTTTTTTACTTTTTAATTCCTAGTCTTTTTTTTAAATTGCGGTGATATAGAATTTAATTTTAATTCAATTAATATAATTGAACTTAATACAAATTCGAAATAAACTCGATGGGCCATACCAAAAATAAACTTGTTTGCTATAAATAGAAAAAACATCGCAAAATTTGTTATGTTAAGCACTTTAAGATAAAGAAATCAAATGCGAGTGTGGGGCGTTTTCTTAAGAACTTATAAATAATTCCTATACCTACATTTAAATAAAAAAGTAAGCAAGTAGAGTTATTGAATTAAATACTATAATGGATTTCGTTAAATTTGCATTCAGTGATGAACCATTGTACACGAAAGACGATTTTGAGCGAAGACTTTAAATTTGATAGCCATAGTTATAAAACAAATATTTAAATAATTAGAATATTGGATTTGCATAAAAATTCTTCTTTTTCCTTAATTTTTCATTCGTTTTTTTTCCAATTATTAAAAAAAATATTGGGAATTTTTGAATTTGACCTCAGTATGAACTAGATTTAATTTTCTATTCAAAACCACCCTCAAAGTAAAAATTGAAACATTTTATAAATTACTTATCGTGTACACAGAAACAAACTAAAGAATAAAAAAAAAAAATAAACATTTATCGCTCTGCTAAAAATATTGACATATTTTAAGATTTTTTAATTTAATATGTTTCGGCTATTTCGGGATTCGGGTATAATATATTAATATGTTTTGTGACAAGAATATTAGTTTGCTAAAATTCATCAATTGTATCAATATGTTCAAATTTAATTTTTTTTATTCATGGTGACAAAGCAGTTATAATTGAGGTAGGTAGATACTTACAAAATTAATTATTTGATATAATATAACATATTTCATTTAATAGTATCTAATAAATATACTTGTATATTAGATAAAATCATAAATATTTTTATTTCGATTTTTAGAGTTTGAAATTTAAATATAATTCAATATATATTTTACTACTGATGGTAAATTGATTGTGTAAAAAACATGCAATCGTAGTCAATACAAGTAGTGACCAAAAAGTGATAGAAAACTAATATAGGTGAAGCTAATTACATTATTATAAATTGATTCGATATTTTGATTACAACGTTACATGGTATATAAAATATAATTCACAAATACAATAAAAATATCATAAAAACCATGTTTGAATGATTAATATAGTAAATAATAAATAAATATTTCGTATCATTTTACATATTATCTTAAATCTTAACACTTTAATAATTTAATAGTTTTATTACAATACATATTTGATTTGATGATTCACCGATTCAAGATATTTTAAATCCGTTCTAAATTTGATTCTTAATTCCGATTTTAAAATTTAATAATACTATGGGCACACCTATTTTGTTTTATAAATATAAGTAAACAAAAAAAATCTCCGTCATATAATATATACAACTGTTAAAATATGACAATTATCATCAATCCGTTTCATTAAAACAAAAATAATAAAACATGATGTGTTTTTGTTACGCTATTTTTGTAGTTGTATAATATTATGTATGCTAAAAATTATCTAACTTTTGATAGTATATTATGAATAATAATTAAAACAATGGCGTATTTATCTGTGAATTTAGATGTATTCCTAACATCCTTTACCTATAGAATGAAAATGACAATTTTTAATAATTTTTTAATTCAATGATCTACAAGAATTAAAAAAAAAAAAAAAATGAATTTTCAATGTCTTTTATTTAAGAAATACAGGTTTAAATTAATACATCGTTTTAAATCTTTAAATTATTTTATTTACAATAATTTTTATCGTGTATTATTCCTAGAAGCACTAATAACTAAAATAGTGTCTTGGCTTAAAATTTAATTTCTGTATACTTTTAATAACTGTAATAAAATAAAATTCGAGGTTTATAAGCTACGATAGGATTAATTGACAATAATAATGTTGCGGACATTAAGATATAATATAATCTACATATTATAGAATATATTGTTACATACCATATGTAAAAATATTATTAACAATTATTTTTAAAAGCCTATTTAATACTAATTACAGTGAATTAATATAATAATTATTTAATCAATAATTTAAGTACCTATCTACTCTTTAAATTATATATTTATCAAAATTTGATAAAAAATTTTAATAGCTTAACAAAGGAATAAGAAACTATAGGCACTTACATAAAACCGAGGTATAGATAATTAGTAATTACTATTATGTATCTGATAGATTAATATCCCCGTATGAAATCAATTTAATCTTTCAAGTGTATACATAAAAAAGGAAATTAA